AAAACACAAAGAATCCACAAAATTCAGTAAAATTAATAACTTTATTTCCCTGTTGAAAATTCTCTGAATCTTTTCAAATATAAAAGCACACGCGCCAAGCAGTTTGCTTTAAATAAATATATGCAGCAACGAGAAGATGCGCTTTTGACAGCAACTCGTTTCGAAAATCGAAAATTTTTCTAAATGTAAGAGATTTGTCGCTTAAATTAATTTTTCATTAAACAAAAAAACAAAATAGAATCGCATATTATTAAAAGAATTTTATTGATAATTCAGATTCTGAAAACAAGAACATTGTTGTTATAAAAAACAAAGAAAAAATAAACAACATATTTCATTCAACGGGGGCCAACTTTGGCGCATGAACTTTTCAACATAAAAATATTTGAAGCATGTTATGGATAAAGGTTTATTTGATTATGGCAAAGTACTCGATGGTTATTTGCCTAAGGTGAAGGATGCCTTCGTTCGAGGACTGCCTAACGGAAATTAGCTTGCATACATGTTACACATATGGAAAACTAAGAATATCATCCTGGCAACCAGCCAGGATTCGGGATTCGAACTCCGGACAGAACCACCAGTTGTTCCGTTAGACTCCGCTCAGTCGCTGGTGGGCTGTCCGATAACGGAAAAGTTCAAAATTTCATATTAGAGGAAAAGTGGTAGCATAGTATAATTCGAAGTTATTGCCATTTCAGTAATGTGAAGAGATTTCAAGAATGTTTAATTATTTTATTTAGCTTATGACAAACTAAATAAAATAATTAAACATTCTTGGAATCGCTTCTCTTAACATACTGGTAGTTTGACCTGCATTCAAACCCCCGTGAACAAGCTGATTGCATGGGCGTTTTTATGGTTTTAACTTTTTGTAGTGCGAGATTGTTTCCCTTAGAAAATCTGTCACGAAAGCATACCTCCCCTTAGACAGATCGCCTTCACGTGCTTAATAATCTAACAAGCCAAACCAAACACAACCCGAGCGAGGACTCGTAGTCAAGGCACGTCATCATGAAAAGCTAACTAAAATTGGCTCATATTCACATTAAACATGGGCAACAAAACATTCGCTAAAACTGGTATGCAGGCAATCCATTCATCAGGATTTGAACCCGCTTCAAACTATTAGTATTCAACGATTTTACCGCTACTTCGTTGGCGGCCTTTTGTAGTATCTATAAGAAAAGTAATCGCAAAGACACAATCATTGCGTACCGACGGATGAATTAAGTTCGGAATTTAAAGAATAACTTTCATTCGTGCTATTGCTGTTAGCATTGACATTTGGACAGATGTTAATTTATTTTAAATTCTTTTAATGTAATTAATTTATATCTTTAAATAATTGATCTTCTGACTGTAATTTTTGTGCGGCAGTATATCTAACCCTTCCGTACACTAACTGTTTTAATTAATTTACACTCCATTAATTTTAAGAGATTTTATATCGATAGATTTCTTTCCAAAAATGTTTCAAGGATTACATATTTTTTTCTTTAGATTTCAAAACATTTTGGTATTTAAAATCTTAATAATAAAATTTTTAAAACAAATATTTCTAGAAATTCCTTCGGCGTATTCATTTATTCCATTTAGTTGAAGTTTCGAGTAGAATATCTTCCTTTCAACATTCATATAATTTTTATATGTCAGTTCGCCATTTCTACGGAGCATAGAGCCACACATACGAGTACAAAACTCAGGCATGCTGAAAGCACAGTTTTAACATTTAAGAATGTAAAAAGAAGAATATACCATTATAATAACGCGCATTTGAAATACGAAGGCAAACAAGAAAGCTGGTTGCAACATTTTATATTTTTTCCTGACGAATCAGAAATTGTAATCATTTTTCAATACAAAAATAAAATATTTGATTCTATAACATATAGGCATAAAGGCGTCCTCCGTTACAATTCTTATTTTTTCTTGTTTCTACTAAAATTCGGCAATGTACTATAACAACGTCGGATCCTGTTTGACTTTCATTTGTATAAAGTACCACAAGGCAAACAGTTGTAAAACGATTTATCTTCTTTCGCAAACTTTTAGTCGGCACACAGATAATACATACCTGCTGTCTGACAAAGATACTTCACTCTAAGGACTTTTTCCTAAAGTGCTCTTTTCAAAGAGACTTCACACCCTATTAAGACCTTTGTGTCAACTGACAGCCGCCTGCAGAAAGGTAGGGGAAGGAAGACCAGATCGCGTCGTCTAAACACGTCTTAAGCAATTTTCGCGAAATTCGGGCTTCGTGTATACACGTCTTAAGCATTTTTCGTGCGATTTGAAATTCGTGTAAAGACGTCTTAAGCATTTTTAAAGAAATTCCAAAAACGTTTAAACACGTCTTAAGCAGTTAAAGGGTTAAGGAAGCAAAGAAGAATACTGAAGTAGCACAGAGAAAACAAAAATTGTATTATGACTTGAAACGACGGGGAGTAACTTATAAAGTAGGGGATGAAGTACTAAAAATTAAGCATTCACTTTCTTCAGCACCAGAAGATAAAACTGCCAAATTTTTCCCACGATTTGAAGGACCATATGTCATAGAAAAAATAACTCACGCTGTAGTAGTGTTAAAAGCCAGAAATGGTGATACCTGCTCCGCAAACATTGATCAAATCAAACCCTACTATGATCGTAATAAAATGCAAATATTTTCAGATCTTTTGCAGGATCCGGCACGGCAGACACCGCAGGCACAAGCTCCAGAGGAGGAAAAACGACAAGTACAAGGGCAAGCCATTAAGAGGCAGGAGCAAGTGAAAAGAAAGTTTCCCCGCGTAAAAATTGAAGGTAGCAAGAAAAAGAAGCCGTTCCACCGTCCAGAAAAGAGAGCTCACGAACACCCCCAAAATGAAGAAGGGAGAAGGACGACGTATGCAAAGAGAGCCAGGAGAAATGACGGCAACTATAACCCGGCTCTAAAACGGAAGATCTACTCATCCGACAGGACTCTCCGCAGCAAATGTCGCCGAACTGCGGAAGGGCCATCAGCAGCGGAGGAAAAGTTACAAGGAAAATTTGAACGGCCAACAACGAGGTCCAAGCAGGAACACGAAAGAAGTTTCCCGGTTCGACCAGCTGCCATCAAACGGCCAAGACCACAGGCAGAGGCGAAAAAGAAGGTATTAAAGGGTGACCGAACTGGAGAAAAAAGAAAGCATCTAGAGGAAGGCACTGAAGGGCGAGCCCGTACAAGAAGGAGGATAAATCAAACAACAATCTGCACTACCTTTCAAGACTGGGCCCAGAAAAGAATGTCCGAATATCACAAAGATAAGTAAAATTTTATGTTACTTTGCAAACTTAAGTTAATCTTTCATTCTTACTGCAAGTGGCAGATTTCAAGAAGTTTTACCTTATGCGAGGTCTACCTTTATCGCCAAAAGGGCGAGAAATGAGTTGTTACCGATTTTGGTATTATGTTTTTCAATTACTCGCGCGTAAAACTAAAGTTGATGTATAATAGCGTTGTGTAAAGACTTAAATATTGTAAAAAGTTATTGTATAAATATTATTTAAAACATTCCGGCAAGAAAGAAGTTTTAGTCTGAAAGACGGTTTTGAAATGTATTATTTCAATGTAGAAAGAATTGGCACTTGCTTTGAAAAGAATAGAAGTTAACAATGTACTACTAATGTATGTTTTCAAATGTATAAAATTAACGGCATGTTAATATGTTCTTATATACAATGTGAACTGTTATTTTAAATGTTAAGAAATACCGTGATATGGTAAAAGTGAAAGTAATGTTAAAATTTTTTTTATTCGTGTGACTGTAAAAAGACTAAATCATGGTGAATATGTGTTAAAGGTGTGATGTAGTTAGGCTCTCTGACGCTACACTTCAGAGTTAGCCACTTTCAGAATAGTACCTCAGGGTTTAGAGTTGAAATTAGGGTGTGTTACGAGGTCTTGGTATGCTGAATTTTAACACGTTAGTGTTTTGATTGTAGGAGGAAGTGTTGAACACGTTGACAGAAACACATTCGTGTTTGGCGTTCTTTTACAACACATGTCAGAGAGCACGGGGAGAGATAACTAAAATAGTTATGAATGAAATAAGAATGTTAAGAGAAATATAATTATACATGTTACTTGCCATTTCATTGTGTAACATTTCATTAAACTAGTTTTCCTTCCAGATCTCTGGAAGGAACCAGATTTGAATAAAAGCTCCTGTTTAGATGCAGTACAGTTGAAAAAAATTGTGTGTCCTGGGAGCTGCTATTGTAAAAACAAATTTCTTTCTTTTAAATTTCTAGTTTCTAGCGAGAAATGTTTGTAAAAGATTGGCCTCGCGTTAGATTCTAGAGCTAAAAGTTTTCAACAAGGTCGTTTTAGACCTCAGTTTCAAACTAATTAACTCTGGCGGGAAGTATGTAAGGATCTTAAGTTTTACTAACGTTTATTTTATTTTAAATCTTTACTATCACTTCTTATTTTCTACTTCCGGCCAGAATTATAAGCGTTAATGTATTTATGCAAAGTTTGTCTGGCGAACGCCAAGTATTTAAGTTGTGGCTTTTTGCCAAGCGAGAGAGAGGAAGCAGTTAGTCGAAGCATGCCGCTTGGCTTAGAAGTTTTACTCGGTTGCTGGTTGCCTTCCAGGCCAGAGGTTTAATTCTCTTGATAACTTTAAACGTATTGTAGTGTTCACAGTTCTCTGTACTACATACGGCTTCCTGTTAATATAAGGCCAATCTTCCACGTTTATTATTTTAAAGTTAAATTAGAGTTTAGTTTTATTTTTATATTCTTACGTTCAGACCACGAGTAGTGGGTCTTTGTATTCCGAAGTACGGAAGTTATTGTAAATAGAGAAAATAAAGGGTTTTGTATACCCTTCTTGTGTATCCTGTCTACTTCCCCACAGTGATTGAACATAGCTTCAGTAAGCTCTCTGTTCCGAGTCAGGTCCTTGCATGTTCCCGAAGAAGGTAAGACGGAACATTGAACCTGATAACTTGACGATACAACCGAGTACCTATAAGTGCTTCAAGCAACTCTAACCTAGGAATAGTTACTTTTTTGGCAGGCGCTACTCTTGATTTACATAATTCCAATTGCACTGAAGTTTTGCCCTCAAAACATGCACATAAGAAAATGCATGCCGCAGAAGATACCTTACTAGTATCACCAGAACAATGTAGAGTGATAGAGCATTCATCAAAGTTTACAATCACAAGTCTCCTTGAAATTTTACAATAATTCAAGAAGTGTAGTCTTTTGAGCCAAGCCTGAAATTCTCTCTCTATACCTTGCGGAAGATTTTCATCCCAGGAGAGTTTCATCTTCCATGTTTTTTGCAGAATGAGTTTTGGAATTAATGTAGATGGACTAGTAAATCCGATGGGGTCGAATATCCTATGTGAGACTGACAGCAGAGATCTTTTCGTGTGGGCACACTCAGAAAATGTCAAAGTGGTTAAACTGCAATAAATTCCATCATTCTCGGTGTCCCATGAGAGTCCCAGAATTGGAATGATCTTCCGATACGAAGTCATGCTTCTCCCTTTGAATGGTACAGTAGTCCACCCTCTAAGGTTAAAACCTCCTGAAAACATTAGAGTTAGGGACGCTTCTTTGAACTTGACTATTTCCTCTTTGGTTTCGAAACTAGCTATAAAATGGTCGACATAAAATGATTTCTTCAATCGAAGTGCCGTTCCTCTTAAATCTTGTGAAGCATCATCCAAATGGTAGGAACTCGTTGTTCCCAACAGGAATGGACTCGAAGAAATTCCGAACATGACACGACAGTGTCTGTAGGTAACAATTTCGGTTTGATTTGAATCTTTCCACCACAGGAATTTCAAAAAGTCTCTCTCTCTAGCACAGAAACTGATTTGTAAGAAAGCTTTCCTTATATCGGCAGTAACACCGATTTCATGTTGCCGGAATTGCAGCAAAATTTTTGGAAGCATTTCTATTAAATTCGGCCTCCTTTTCGAAGCAAGCATTCAAGGAATTCCCATTTTCATCCTTCAAGGATGCATCGAATACAAGTCGCCCTTTCGTAGTCAGATTGGAATCCTTGATTACTGCTTGATAAGATAAATAGTGACCAGTATCACTATTATTCGGAGCTATTTCAATTATACCTTACTTGTGCCAGCCTTTAATAATACCACCATATTCCTCGAAATATTCCATCTTCTGCAGTATTTGTGTATTGGCGAAAAGTCTTTCTTCCGCTTTATCTTTATTAGCTCCAAGAATCCGATGACAATCCTTCCAAGGCAAACAGACTTCGTACATATTGCCTTCGATTGCCAATTGTCTCTAAATTCCACAGTTCTATGATATCCAAACAGCAAAGTCCGACGGTGTCAAGCAAGGTATTATGATTTTGCAATGGGCTTTGTAGGATCCAACCCAACTTTGCTTCAATGGCAATAAGGTTTTTGTCAATTGGAATGATATTATTTGTCATCAACTGTCCGGAATAGTCGATTCCTATTAACAATTCAATATCTGGTGCATCTCTACCAAAATCACTGATTTTGATTTTATGTTCACGAAGTGAGGAACATATATGTTTGAGTTTCACTCTAGGAATGTATCCACAAATTTTTCTTTATCTAAAACCGATGATTCGTATTTGGATTTATTTTCCATACCTTGTATTTCGATATCAAAAATACCATGGACCTGAAATTCAGTTTCAATTCTGCCAAACAGATTGTAGTTCAACGTCTCGTGATCTAATGGGACTAAATCTAATCTCTTTATTATGTCTTTCCGTAAGTAAGATCTTTGTGAACCACTGTCAAAAAGGGTTCTCACAAGTTCTGTTTTTCCATTGTGGACAATCTTCACCATAATAGTTTGAAGAAGAGTTGTTTGCAATTTTTGGTTAGACAATAAAGTCTCACTCGTTTCATTAGCTACTTTAGGGGCTTTGTGTTCTCTGCACATCACCGTTACATGACGTTTGTTGCAAAATAGGCATTTCACAGAACTTTTACACTTTTCGGCAGTATGCCCAATTCTTAGGCAGTTAAAACAAGCTTTTTTCTTCCTAAGTAATTTTTTCTTATCTTCCAATGAAAGGTTGTGCAGCTTAACGCATTCATAGGAATTATGTGTTTCCTTGTCATACCAAGCACAAAAATTAAACTGTTTCTCCTTTGAATCTCCTGCATAAATACAAGCTGCTGTCTAAAGTTCCAGGTGTAATTACAGGAGTGGAATTCACCATTTCATTTTCCACTTTTGTTCTTAAACTGATATATTTACCAGTGTATGTTTTATTCGTGTCAAAATCAGCCAAATATTCACTTTCTTTTTCACTTTCCAACAAAAGTTCGGAAATTTGTGATTGAACTTCATCTAATCTGTTGAATTTATCTTCCAATTGCGAGCTCAATACTTGAAGTTGATTAATGTCCACGTCAGGCTTTAGAATTTCAGCATCTAAAGCTTTGGCAGTAATCGTAAACGATTGCCTTACAGGCTTACGCTTTCGTAATAAGATTTCCATGATTTTATATTCAATATGCTCGAGGATATAATCAAATAAATCATAAACTCACTTGATAAATTCCAATACGAACTCGATGTTTTGTTTTCAAACCGTTATTTCATTTTCTTCAAATAGCCATTTTTGTCCTGTCACCGGACGCCAGTTGTTTGAAATTAATCAATTCCTTAATTTATTTTAATAACTTTGGACGAATGAAAGTATATTTCGCAGAGAAAACCTTTTTAATTAACTACGAACCTATTTATTTAGCATTCTCAACATATAAAAAAAAGAACATTCCATGCATTATCACTCTCAAAAGCATATGTAAACAAAAAATCACTGTTGCAACAAAAAATCTACATTATAATGAACATATTAAATTATTGTGTATTAATTGAGTTCGTAAATGTTTCTTAACAGAAAAGTTCTGAGGATGAATATTGTTAAAATGAATGTTAAAATATTTACCATTTAAGAAATTCAATAAGCGTTATAAAATTGAGTATGAGTAATATAATTTAAAAGTGAAATCTATCAAAAACATGTATTTGAAATTATAGTTAATGAATGCTATGTTACGTATTCTACTCTATTCAACATATTTCTACTCTATGTACAAAGAGTAGAATATGTTGAAGGATTATTGTTTCAAAATCATATTTACCCATTTTTACCTCTTTTACTTAAAAGTTGAAGTATCTTATTTTATTTTTAAGTGTAAATTTTTATATAGAATTATAATTTTTTAATTATGGAAGATTTCAGCGCAGTTCTGAAAGGCCAGTTACCTTAAGCAAGGGAAAGAGGTCTTTACTAGTAACAGTCGAACATCTCTTGGCCATTGCGGCAGTTACACATCAGTCAATTAAAGGAAATATGTCCAATATGATGGAAATGGTTTTTTTTTTTTTTTTTCCAAGAAGTACGAGGCCCTTCAATTTGGGCTGGACAAAGAATCAAAAATGAGATAATAACGATGAAAAACATAATTTCGGTAAGGATGTTATAATATTTATGATGTTTAAAGGTATATATTAGATAAGAAATAAGAATATTGGATGGTTTCTGCGGTTTGTTGAAATGTATCAAGATAATTAATGAATATGCAAAAGTCTTTCACTTGTGGTATTCTGTGAGAAACGTTAGACAAGCCTTTTCTGGAGAATCACAATCGCTATGTGGACTTTCCAAAAATGTCTTGGAATTGGACTAAAATTTTGAGTATATTGAATGTTAATAATCGAAATACTGAAATATTAATGACTTTAAAAATTCTGATTATTTTCAGAAATATAATGTACAAAATATGTATTTTACATTATCTGAAGATTATTAATTAGTTAAAAATTTTATGATTTACATTTTACATGATATGATGTTTATCTTCTTTTTAATGTTTTAATGCTTTTTCCCCAAAAAGACTTTTCTGACGCTAAGCCTTTATCTCTTTGGAGGGGGAGATGTGTAAGGTAAGAAAATTAAAATACCAGTTTTAGTTTGCAATAGTCCCTTAACTCTAATTTAATTTGGCTACTCCCCTTTTCCATCCTTTACACGACGCCGGTGACGCAGCTAATTTTCAGACTGAAATTCAACCAAACAGTATCTAAACTTAAGACACAATAACACGCCGAATAAATACTAATTCAGAAGTCAAACAACAAAAATCAGCGTTATATTTACAAAGTTTTCACAGGACTAGTTTCGATGGTTTTACCGAACCACCATCTTCAGCTGCAAATGAACAGATAGGAAATAATATTAGAGATAAGAAGCCTGGACAAGAATAAGCAAGTGGCGCCATCTTTATATTTTGTATATTTGGATATTGTGCTTTGCTTGTCTGATTTCATGCATTTGCTTACAACGTTTTGTTTTCTATTAATTTCAGTGAGGGATTTTTTTCTGCTGTTTGTGTGTGCTTTATTATTGTTTAGTGATTTAGTTTGATTTTCTGTATTGTTTATCATGCCTTCATCGTTAATCGTTTCACTAAATTACACACCTGAAACGGCAAAATTTCCTGAATCATCTTGACTTTTTACTTAAATGTAAATGTAGAAATTGATCCCCAATTTTATTCAATCAAATCAATCAAAAACTTCGAGTCGCGTTTCAAGAATTCTGTTAAATTGCAAGCTTGCCTTAATTCGGTCCGTCATAGGGGATACACGTCAACAATTGTCCAAAATTTTATGAACTCTATAAGCTTCATGTGGAACTCGCTAAATCATATCCAAAACTCACTGCCCTTGAACAAATGTCTTGGTCTAGAACGGAGAATGCAGTAACCGTCATAAAAACACCCTTGTAGTTAAATTCGAAAAACTTCTTTACAATCTCCAGTTCAGTAGTTCAAAAATCTTCCCATTGTAACATCAAGCGAATAGTTATATTTCTAAAGTTAGTCTTTCAGAAGCACAGAGAGAATTCTAAAATATAATTTAACTTCTCACAACCTGTAAACCTCGATTCCAAAAGATTTTAGCTCCTATCGAAAAAGCTTTCAGTCAGTAAGTTTCAGATTCACAGAAAGAAATGATAGGCATCTTATCGCTCATAATGTGAAATTCATAATAAACCTTTGAAACCAAATCTAACTGCGAGAGAAAGAGCTACATTGCGAAAAATTCATTCTAACCCGGATAATATTCAAGGCGACAAAGGTGGCCAGTGTCGTCATGGATAGGAAACTTAATCCATGGTGTCACTAACTCTTAAACGAAGGACCATATAATCCGATCCCTAAAGATCCTTCACCTTCGGATTTGTCAAAATAAAACTGCGATCAAATCTTCGCAATCATTTCAGCCAACTTAAAACATTCACTATCCCATTGTTGCGAATTGTGCCAGATTATATGCTCTTCCCAAAATTCTAAAAGTGGTATTCCTTTCCGCCCTCGTGTATCAATTTAGGTACTGCCTCGTATCCATTACTTGTAAGGATCTTAAGTTTTACTAACGTTTATTTTTTTTTTTTTTAAATCTTTACTATCACTTCTTATTTTCTACTTCCGGCCAGAATTATAAGCGTTGAAGGAGTTTTATGCAAAATTGTCTGGCGAACGCCAAGTATTTAAGTGTGGCTTTTGCCAAGCAAAAGAGAGGAAGCCGTGAGTTCGAAGCAGGCCGCTTACCTTAGAAGTTACGCAGTTGCTACTTTGCCTTCCAGGCCAGAGGTTTTAATCCTCTTGATAAATTTAAACGTATTGTAGTGTTCACAGTCTCTGTGCTACATACGCTTCCTGTTATTATAAGGCCAATCTTATTCTAAAGTTAAATTAGAGTTTAGTGTTTTATTTTGATATCTTTTAACGTTAGACCCCAAGTGGAGGGTCATTGTATTCCGAAGTACGGAAGTCATTGTATATAAAGAAAAAATAAAGGGTTTTTGTATACCCTTCGTCTGTATCCTGTCTACTTACCACAATTAGTGAACATAGCTTTAGTAAGC